ATTTTCACCAGAACATCCCCCAGCATCCTCCAGACTGTCAAAATTTGGTCACAGCATTTCATACACTTTGGTGTATCCTTTCTCTGGAAAGAAACAGCTGGATATTTTTGTGTCACATTGTGCCCAGTCCACCTCTGTTGTTGTCATTTTAATTGCTGGGGCTGGGTGTTTTTTTTTTAAGTCCTCTACAGAAGGTCTTTGTAGTGACAAGCGAACGGTTCACGCTTCGTAAGCAAACATAAAGAATTCTGCTGCTAATTGGAGAGGGAGCCATGCAGTTATGATTCCATCAACATTTAAGTTACATTGTTAAAGGACACATTTTTTGCTGTTGTTGTTGTTTTGTTTATGTTGCCCCATAAAATTTTACTCGGGGTGGATTTGGTGGGGAAGGTTTTATAACTAATTCTGGGACTCAAGGGGCAGGAGGGAGGGGTAGAAGTTAAATATTTCTGACCTGAATGTACAATATTAAGGTTCAACATTTTACTGCTGTTTTGCTCTATTATAATTCTTAATTGCTGCCTTGTGAAACTATGAAAATGGAAAGACTGGACAACCTCAAAAAAGCTCCCTTTAGCCTGCCCTGAAGAACTGCAGCCACAGTGTTTCATGTGGAGGAAAAGTCTCCAGAAGCCACCACTTTCCCAAAGGAAGGAGGTTGTTATTCACTAATTTGGTCTTTTGGGGTTTTCTCCCCAAGACACTCTGCCTCTTGTATCTGAAGACCTCCCAGTTTCTAAAAGGACCTTGTGTCAGACCTTCCTTTTTTACATAAATTCCACTTCCATGGAATACTTGGCTATGGATTAATAGCTTTACAGTTACAAGCCCCAAAACTGTTTCCTATTAGTGCTGATTTATTTCCTACTTACATCTCTCTTCTCAGGTGGCAAAATGTCTGGAGCCTCATCTTGAAGAGCCTTGGAAGGGCCAAAAAGGTTCTTCCTTTTCCAGGTCACTGCCAGGTTTTAGAAGACGCAATTTTTCAGCATCTGAAGCAGGAAATCCCAGCTCTTTTCCATGAGAAGAAGCACAGGGATGACAGGGCTTCCCCCCAGAACACTCCCGGGGTAATTGCTGAAGACATTCCAAGCCACTCTAACGAAGTGCACTGTCTGCCAGTCATTCTGTTCTCCTTGGAAGACCATCTGTTGCACTTCAAATATGTAAAGGTCTGCTATCATTTATTGCTCCAAACAAATCCACTCCTTTGTCTCATGGGCTGGAGCTCCTGAATGGGGACTAGAGGTGGTTTCGGTCACGGAGGGCAGGATATTCAGGATGTTCCCTTTTGTTGCTCTGTAAGTGAAAGGTGCTCACTCAGCTCAAATTTCAGAGCATAAACAGTGATTAAACTGATTTCAGTGCTTTTGAATAATTTCAATTTATTTGGCAACAAATTGTGAACAACAACAACAACAATAATCTGAAATGTAGTTTCTGTTAACTCAGCCAGAAGCACACTGTAAGATTTTTGCTTCTGGTGAACAAACCTTTCCATTGTAGTGGTACCCAGACTTGATACACACTGACATTTGAATTAACATTATGTTATTTTAACTAAATTGCTTAATTAGCTTATTTGTGGCTGAAACTAGTGATTCAAAGAAACTTTCAGCAGTGAAAAATAGGGTCAGCAGCTCAAAACAAGAACCTTTCTTCTGGTAGGTAAACACATGTCCTTTACAGGGATGTAACACTTGCCTGTACAGTCTTTATTTATGAGTTAACTGGGACCCTTTCCATGAATTAAATGAGCAAGATCAGGCATCAAATGATGATTTCTCTTTGTTTTTCCTGCTGCAGATTTTAGAGAGGCTGTGCAACCCCTCCTCTCAGATTGGAGAGCATAAGCATTGTATTTTCACAGCAGAGAAGTTCTGTTCAGAGATTTCCAGCCAGGGAAACACACAACAGTTTCTGTGTGATTAGGGAGTGGTCCTGTCTTCTTCCCTTTTTTTTCCTCTGTCCCTTCTCCTCCCTGCATAGCAGTTAATGTTCTGGTCAGAAGGAATAATATGTTGGATCTTGAATGTCAGTAGCCCCAGAGATTCTGACAAGACTATTCATGTGCATTCATACGTCTTAACCAAAGCTGACACTAAAGAGAGCAAGAATCCTCATATTCCTCTTTTTATTGCTGTGCATTACACTCAAATCTTCTCTTGGAGACCTCTGCTGAAAAATGACATATTCCCCATTTGAAAAAGGCTTTCTGGCAGGGTCTAAACAAAGCAGCTGGACATCAACGTGGCCCAGGGCAGAAAGCTCCCACAGTTTGGTTTACACCCCAGTTATGGACGCCTACCAAATGCTGGGAGATAAATCCTGATGGGAAACAAACAGTAATGTTTTTGTTGTCATTTTTTAATTTAAAAATTAAGTGGTCTTCTAATTTCTTGAAATCTTATAGGAATACTTGGATTCTGGTAACCTGAGGTGGATGTTTTCTGAGAAACACCCCCTGTGTGAATGTTCTGCTCTCCCATTTACCCCAGACGTATTTTACACATACTTCTAGTACAGTTTACAGCACATGTCTGGGTAATTTTGCAGTGATCTGATCGTGTGGTTAAAGCCAGGTAGGCAATTTTTACAGCAATGATAGTTTTAATCTTCTTTTTTGTAATTGTTTGATAGCAGTGACTAACACAGCCTTGGTGGCTCTGGGCACCTCGCCATTCTTAGGTAGTTTAATTTGTTAAAAATTATCTTCCCTCCCACCCAAATCCCCTTGAAACCACTTGGAGAGGAGAAGTGTTGAATTGTTGCCAATAATAAGTCCTGCTGAGACCTCTGTATCCTCCTGATAGAACTGCTGGTGCCAACCAGGGACTGACTGGCACAGGTTTGAACTCTCCACTGCTTGATAGATCTGCTTCACATGGACCAATTACAACAATTCCCACCTCTGGAGCTGAAGTCGAAGCCCTTGGTCTTCCCTTCATACCTCAGGTTGTTGGCAATGTGTTCAGTCCTACAATCTCCATTTTCTCTGAATAATTAAGTGGAACATAAATGCTTCGAAAAAGTAGGAGAGAGTCTGAATGGAAATCAAAGGCTGAATAATATTGTTTTTCATGTTGCTGTTGTTAAGCTGCATTTCTTTCCATTTATTCTTTGTTTCTAAAAGGCAGCATCTTCTTTTAAGTTTTTTACAGAGATTCACCAGAAGGTGCTGTAGTCCATTGACTGTTATATTCAACAGTATCTTTTAATGTGAATGAAAGAGCAATAGGAATTCCTGCTTTTTTTTTTTTAAATGGGTTTAAAAATATAAATATTCCTTTCAAAATAAATACTTTTGACCAAAGTGGAAAATCATCCATCCTTTACTCCTTTTGGCTGGATGTTTCCATAAGAAATAGGGATATAACACCAGGATGAGAGACTGGCATTAACTGCCCAGTTCCTGACAATTCCATTGGTTTCAATCTGATGCAACAGGGACCATCTTGCCCTTGCCCCTGTTGTCTTTCCAGGAGAGTAGTTAATTTTTAAATTGGAGCAGCTGCAGGTTTTTTTTAACCAGTGAAGTTTCTATTACACACAGATAAACCTAAGACTGAGCACAAACTGACTTGCCTGTAGCTTTCCTAATATGATTGCACTGCACAGTGTAGATACTAAAATTTATATTAAAAATTCTCCATGCAGTTTCCCTCTAGGGAGAGGAAGAGGGAAGGGAAAGGCTACATGTGACAGATGCTAATTATGCAGCTTAATGCACTTCTGGAAGTTGCAGAGATGAGAACTCTGTAAAAACCCATCCACAAAACAAAGCCTATTTTCAACAGCGTTTTTTCCACAATGCTTTGTTTTCATCTGCCTCCTCCCTGTTTTCCAGGAGGCTTTATTTCCCAGATAGCTCCTACAGTATTCAAAGGGCAAGTGATATCCAAGATCCAAAATTTGCCAAGCATGGATATGAGTGTTCTCCATCGTGTCTTCCTGCTCTGTAGGGCCGTACGTGGAATTGGGAAAGGTGGTGGCTCCCAGTCAGGACAGGTATGGCTTAAAAATTCTCTAGCTGATGTGTTAGTTTTCTTTCCTCTTTTGTTGATGTTTTAGTAATGTTTGGGTTTACTGGGAAAACTGTGTTCTGCACTTGACTGTGCTGGGATCCTGTAGAAGGATTTATTGTGGTGAATATGTCAGGCCCAAGGAACCAGATCCCAAACTGAGGCACACAGGATGGGTTCCTCCAATCTGGGTGGTGAATCAGTGCCAAAGCCAGTGTTAGACGTTGATCTTCTCTCCCAGACATTGAGCTGTGCTGTTTGAGGCTAAAGAAATGGATTTCCAGCCAGGGAAAACTCGATGTCATCCTGAAATCAATGGGGAAACTCAAAAGCACCTCAAGGCCACACTGAGCCATCGTGCTGGATTTCCTTCCCTCTACCAAATCCCAGGATTCTTTTCCCTCCTAGAGGTAAACCCACACCAGCTCTTGTGTATTAATGCCAAATGCTGCTTTCTTTTATTTCCTTCAAAGCCTGGTATTACTCCTTTGGGACCGGTGACTTCCCAACCTCTCTCCACGCGGGACGATAATCGCGCTAACGACGGCAGCGGCGCCGGAACTTCCGAGGTCTTGGTGTGGCCCTGGGCGGCCTTGGAGGAGCATGTTTGGAGTGAATCCTCCTCTTGCCATGGTACTCATGTGCAGCCACCATGGAGAAAACCATCTGTTCCCCTTGGAAGGGGGTTTGGTTCCCCATGCCCTCCCCCGATCCCGCTCCGTCCCCAGCTGCCGTGTTTCGACGAGCAGGGAACGAATCCCCTGCGTTAAAAATACTCTGGGTCTATTTAGATGAAAAGAACCTTGCTTGCCTACACTGACATGCAAAAATAGGCTCAGTGTGAGTAAATCTTCAAACTTTCTTTTGGTGAAAATACCCAGCCTGGCTTTTTTTTTTTTTTTTTTTTTTTTAACTTCTATGATAAGTTTATTTATAGAGTGTCCTTCTTTCCTCCTACTCCATCAAGACATTTGCAGGAGGTTGTCGCTCGTCTTGTTCAGGAGTCCTGAAATAATTTGCAGGGCCTTTGAAACATCATCATGTTGCACAGTTGTGATGCATCGTGCTGCTGTTGCACCAACGTATCATATTTTAGTGTGAATGTCACGTTAACTGAGACATTCCGGCCTTCCTTTTACTCCAGGTGCCTTACACTGGTTTGTATTTTCATTTTAACTCTGCAGTCAAAAAATTCTGCGTATATATAGTAACTTAAAATTTTCCATTCTACATGCAAGGCATTGCATAGAAAAATTAATGTGTAATATGAGAAGATTAACAGGATGCATATACTTTCCAAATATCTCTTAAAAATAGCTTTCACTGTCACTGTAGCATCTTAATTCTGAATAATCTCACAGTCCTTTTGCAAATCTGTGCATATAGTAACAGAGTAACCACCTACTTCATCCTCTTGAACTGCACAATATGTATCTGGGCATGAAAAAAACTGCATTTTGGAGTATGTTCTGCTTTGGCAGAGAGGATGGCTGTGGGACTAGTGAGAGCAGTAATGCCTGCGTTAAATATTAATGCCAGCATTCCCAATACCTGCCTATCTTTTTAAAAAGGCTCCAAGATTCTGAGTGTGGAATTTGCTCCACAGTGCAAAGCACCAGCACAAATCTTGGGAAGCCTCTGCCAAGAGGTGGAAGTTGTGGAAAGGGAGCCAGGGTGGGTGTTCCCTGTGCTCACGGGACACTCTGTGCCTGGACTTTGGCCCAGCACTGCCTGGGGATGATACCCAGGAGTGGATCCTGGTGGGATCAGGGGCCAGGAGCCTGGGGATAAATATGTGATGGAGAGTTCCAAGAAGATGGACCAGGTTGGTGACAACCACTAGGACACGAGGGAATGGGCACAAACTGATGCCCAGGAAGTTCCATCTGAACATGAGGAAGAACTTCCCTGTGCAGTGACCGAGCACCGGAACACACTGCCCAGAGAGGGTGTGCAGTCTCCATCACCGGAGATATTCCAGCTGTGATCCTGTGCCATGTGCTCTGGGATGACCCTCCTTGAGCAGGGAGGTGGGACCAGATGATTGACAGGAAGCTGAGCAGGTCCAGAGAAGGGCAATGAGGCTGGGGAAGGGACTGGAGCACAAGTGCTGTGAGGAGAGGCTGAGGGAGCTGGGGCTGTTCAGCCTGGAGAAGAGGAGGCTCAGGGGAGACCTCCTCACTCTCTACAACTCCCTGAAAGGAAGGGGCAGCGAGGGGGGGAGTTGGGCTCTGCTCCCAGGCAATGGGACAAGAAGGCACAGTTGTAAGCTGTGCCAGGAGAGGTTTAGGTTGGACATTAGGAAGAAATTCTTCACAGAGAGAGTGATCAGACATTGGAATGGGCTGCCCAGGGAGGTGGTGGAGTCACCGTCCCTGGAGGTGCTTAAGCAGAGCCTGGACGTGTCACTCGGTGCCATGGTCTGGGTGACAAGGTGCTGTTGGGTCACAGATTGGACTCGATGATCTCAGAGGTCTTTTGATGCTGTGATTCCGTGATTCTGTGCCCCGCTGCGGCCGCTCCAACCCGGCCCACCCCGTGAGGAGCCGCGGGCCGGGCCCGAGGCGGGGACTTTACGACCTGCGGCTGAGGTCTCCGCGCCATTTCCCGGGGGTGCCGCGGCTAGAGGTGTGGGCGGGCCGGGCCAAACGGGCAAGGGCGGGGCGGCAAGCGCCGCGCGCTCGCCTGTGCCGGCCGCTGCGCGCCCCCGCCCGCCGCCCCCCCGCGCCCCATGGCGGAGCGCCGCACCACGTGACGGCGCGGCCAGCCAAGGGAAGCGCGGCAGGGGGGGCCCCGGCCGCCGTCCCTGTGGCCGCCATTAAAGAAAAGGGGTTCCTCGGAATTACCCGGGAAAGCCGGGGCCGCTTTCCCCCGCCCCGGCCGTGCGGGACCCGCGCCCAGGGCTCCCGCCGCCACACGAATTGCCGCGGCCGGGCGCCGCCCCCGCCCCCCGACAGAGGCACCGCTGAGGGGAAGGGCCGACGCGCCGGCGGGGGCTTTCGCGGCCAGGCGAACTCGCCAAGCGGCAGCAAGCAGAAAGCAGCGGCGGGCCCGCCGCGTCCCCTGTGTGTGTTCGGCCGGCGCAGGGAATGCGGGGGCCTCCGAACCCCCTCCGGGCTGAGAGAGCCCCGGGGCTCGGCCGCCGCCTCCCCGCCCTGCCCGGGAGCCCCGGGAAGGGGGCCCCCTCCGCCCGCCGCCCCCGCGGGACCCGCCAACCTGAGGAGAAGCGGGGGGGTCGGGCTTGCCCCCGAGGAACGCGCCGGCGCCGCGACCAAGACCATCGCTTCATATTTTTCTCTCCTCTCTCCCCCCTCCTCCCTTTTTTTTTTCCTTTTTTTTTTTTTTTTCTCTCCTCATCTTCTCTTTTTTTTTTTTTTTTTTTTTTTTTTGCCTCGTTATTTTTTAAAGGACCGGCCTCGCCGCGGGGCTGGTCCCCTCCCCCGCCCCCCGCTGCCCCCGGGCTCTTCGGGGTCGCCTCCCGCTGGCCCCGCGGTGACGTCGGCGGGGGTCCGCGCTCCCTCCAGAGACTTTTGGGGGTCCCCCGGCCCCCGCGGACAGCTGGGGGGGACCAGCCCCCCCGAAGACACTCTGCGATTCGCCCCGTCCTCCTCCCCCGACGGGGATCGGCCTCCCGGAGACTCCTCCATCCTTCCCCGGAGAGACTTCGAGGGTCACCCGCAATTTCCTCCTTCCACCCCTCTTCCCCTCCCTCCTTTCCCCACGGAAGGATTTTTTTTTTTTTTTTTACCCGACGGAGAGTATTTTGGTTTCGCCCTCGCTGCGAAGACTATTTCGTTTTGGGGAGGGGGGGTGTTTTCCACACGGGAATTTAATCCCCCGCTGTGCTGCTGAGGAGACTTTTGCGGCCTTCCTCTCTCAAGGAATACCTTCCCCCTCCCGTGCCCCCGCAGATGTTTTTTTGGGGTACACCCCAGGAAATTTTTCTCTCTCTGCCTTTACGAATTCTTCAGACTGGCCTTACTTCTGGCCCCTGAAGTTTGTTTTTATGCTTTTAAATTTTAATTTATTTGGAATATTTTTGGAGCAGGGGAGAAGAATCTGACCCCCCCACACCCTGTTGCCCTCGGACTCCGAAGAGACGAGCCTGGATTTTTCTCTCTCCCACGGCCAATCCTTCCCAGTCATTCCACAATTTGCCCCTTTCTCATCTGATGACTAAAGGAACAGGAGGAAGAGAAGGGGGGGTTCTGGATTGATTGCCCCCGCTGGATTATTTATGTTTTCCTACTTCTCTTGCTTGGCATCTGAGAAGAGAGGAAGGAGGGATGTCAACTGATTTTTAGCCCTAGCCCCCCCGGATTAATTACCCCATTTTTATTCTCTTGTTGGATCAATTACCCCTTCACCTCACCTCCTCTCCCTCCCCTCCTTATGCGAACGAGAAGACAAGAGGAACGGGGAGGATTTTGATCTTAATCTCCCGTCGTTGGATTACTTACCACCTCCCTCTTTCTGTTCTCCCCTTCCACCGTGGCTTTACCCCCCCGGTGGAGCTCCAGAAGACGAGAAAACGTTCTGACTTCCTTTAAAAAAAAAAAAAATTTTTTTTTTAATATTTTTTTTTAATATTTTTTTTTTTACCCCCCTCTCTCGTCCTATTCCCCCTGCCACTATTTCGCGTGCGCGCGCGTGTAAATCCCTTATTTAATTGTATTATTATTTGTGCGTGTGCGGAGCCCCCCTCCCCCTTTCCCTCTCGCTGTCTGTCTCTCCCTCTCTCCCTCTCCCTCTCTCTCTCTCTCTCTCTCTCTCTCCCTGGCTGTCTCTTTCTTTCTTGTCGGAGGCTGTGGGATAATGGCGTGTGGGTTGTGGCTGTGAGGATGAGTTCCTGCTTCGTGCCGAACGGGGCCAGCCTGGAGGATTGCCATTCCAACCTCTTCTGCCTGGTGAGTGGCGGCCCCGGGCTCGCAGCCGCCCGGGGACACGGAGGGAAGGGAGCCGAGCTCTGGGGGAGGGGGAAGGGGCAGTGGAAGCAAAGCAGCCATTTTTAGCAGAGCTTCTGTTGGATGAGCCCTCGGAGTAGGCCCTGCCTGGAGCAGCCAACTCTCCCATGCCCCTCTGGTTCCCCCTCCATCGCTGTCTGTCTCGCCTCGCCCCTCCCTCCGCTTTCTTCCTGGATAGTATCCTCCCTGCAACTCGCCTTTTCCTTCCCTTTCCGTGCCTCCCAACTTTTCCTCCTTTCTCCCCGTTGCCCGCCTCTGATCCCCTGCCTTCCCATCTCCTGCCCCTGCTCCTTCCAGCCCCACATCTCGGGGAACTTTCTCTTTCCTCTCCCCGCTCGTGACATCCCAAAAGCCGAGCCGAAACCTCCCTTCTTCCTCGCTTTTAGACGGATCCCTTTCGCTGCTTGTTTTTATCCTGGAGGGCTGGTTTTGGTGATGCCCTCCCTGGGATCGGTGCTGTCTCTGTGTTTTGATGTGCACCATTTTGTAGCCCTTTTTAACCCAAGTATCAAGTCGCTCACATTGTTGAATTTTGGTGGCTCCCAAAGTGAATTCGATATAACTGGCCTGTGATGCAATTTTTGGTGGCTGTGCTGAGCTGTTTCATCAGCTTTTTAATGCAAATGAGCTGATCTTAGCTGACTGCCTGATATTTATGATTCCAGAGATTGTTACCACAATCCTGTGCCGAGCTGTGGCACTAATATTTTCGGATGGAGGGGGATCTGAGCGTGCCTGCAGCCTGCACCAGGCCCGCAGCCCCATATTAACAGTGTATTTTTAAATCTGTAAGTGTTTCTAAAGTATCAACTGTTGCAGGCAACCTTTCATCCAAATTGCTCTCCTGCTGAAGGTGGGGAGGCTGCCATGTTACATTTAAATGTTGCAGTAATCTTTTGTGTGTTGTCATGCCGGGGAGGCAAAAAATAGTAACTTCTTAGCAAATGCCAGCCTGCCTTGTTGTCCCTCCTGGAGGAGAACCCGGGGCAGTGCCTCCCCTACCTACCCTAAGGTGACTGGGTGCAAAAACTTAGCACTAAAACTTGAATCTGCCATGTAGATAATCCAGGAATTGTGTTTCCCGCTAGACAGGGTAGGGCCTCTTTCCCTATATAAAGCAAATTTAATTTTTGCCTAGAAGGGGGTCCAGTGGCTCAAAATCGATGTGGACTCGGGTCTAACGTGTAATTTAATGATAAAATTGGGATCGAAGTTCTCGGGATGTGGTGTGAGGAATGAGAAGTATGATAGCTCCTGGTGAAATCAGGGAACTCGAGAGGCTTCCTGGGGGAGATGCAGAGAATGTTTTACAATGGAGAAACTTGTGAAATTTTCCAAAGGAGTAGATGGCTGGAAGAATGTGTGCTTGGGTTAGATTTACTGTATTACCTATTTCCACGGGGTAATCTTGGATTGAAAAGGTAGTGTGTGCATAAGCAAGTGGAAAGAAAGATGTCCTTTGCTAAGGCAAGTGTGTGGGAGCTTGGGCAGTTGCAGTCTGTGAATAATTCACATTATTCACTGGTCTTTCCCTCACTGACTTTAAATCAAATCTGCCTTTTCTCTGTGTGGTGAAAACGAGCAGCTCTTGCTTTCCTGCAGTTATTCAAAGAGATTTCAGACCAGGATTCCTGCTCATTTCCCCTTCACAAAACTCACCACTGTTAAATGTTGTGCCACCAATCCTTCCTTCCTCCCTTCACCTGGCTGTTAGTGTGGGGGGTACCTGCCTCCATGTGTGATGTTGTTTTCCTTCCCTTCCCTCAGGCTGATCTCACTGGGATTAAATGGAAGCGCTACGTGTGGCAGGGCCCAACGTCTGCCCCGATTCTCTTCCCGGTCACGGAAGAGGATCCCATCCTGAGCAGCTTCAGCCGCTGCCTCAAGGCCGACGTGCTCAGCGTGTGGCGCCGGGACCAGCGGCCGGGGCGCAGGGAGCTCTGGATCTTCTGGTGGGGGGACGACCCCAACTTCGCTGACCTGATCCATCATGACCTCTCAGGTAGGAGGATGTTCATTTGGGCGGCAAAAGGACCTTCTGGTCGGTCCTTGGGTCACTGAAAGGATCGTGGTGCTCAGGGCTGCAGGCCCTGAGAACATCTCTACCAGAGAAGTGTTGTCTATGGAGATAGATTTACTGCTGCAGCCCTCCCCAGATGATTCCAGCAGTGCCCAAACAACCTCCTGTGGGTTTAGGGCACTGCTGGATTCTCAAGAAACCCTCACCAAATTATTCCACCTCCTGTGGGTTTAGGTGGCCTTGGACTGCTGGATTTTCCAGAAACACTCCCCAAATGATTCCAATGGTGATCAAACACCTCCTGTGGGTCTAGGGCACTGCTGGATTCTCGAGAAACCCTCACCAAATTATTCCACCTCCTGTGGGTTTAGGTGGCCTTGGACTGCTGGATTTTCCAGAAATGCTCCCCAAATTATTCCAACAGTGACCAAACACCTCCTGTGGGTTTAGGTGGCCTTGGACTGCTGGAATTTCAAGAAACGCTTCCCAAATGATTCCAGCAGTGACCTAAACCCACAGGAGGTGTTTGGTCACTGCTGGATTCTCAAGAAAACCTCACCAAATTATTCCACCTCCTGTGGGTTTAGGTGGCCTTGGATTCCTGGATTTTCCAGAAACCTTCCCCAAATTATTCCAGCAGTGACCAAACACCTCCTGTGCATTTAGCTCACTGCTGATTTTCAAAAAACCCTCCCTAGATTATTCCAGCAGTGCCCAAACACCTCCTGTGGGTTTAGGTGGCCTTGGACTCCTGGATTTTCCAGAAACCCTCCCCAGATTATTCCAGCAGTGCCCAAACACCTCCTGTGTGTTTAGATCACTGCTGGATTCTCAAGAAACAAGTTTTTGCTCCCCACTTGTTTCCTTGAAAAAAAAAAAACAAACAAACCACAAGCCTATGGATTTTGGCAGCTTCTTCCTGAGAAAGCTGTGCTGAAAGCTGTGCCTCTGATTCACAAGTGATGTCTTAAACATGTTTTGATAAGATCCCTTTTGTTGGGCAATTAGACTTTTCAAATTCAAATAGTAAAGCCCCTTTTTTTTTTTTTATACAATAAGAATTGTAGAGATCCGGGCAACTCTTGAGCTGTTTGGAGTTGCTTTGGTTGGAAGTCAAACCACGGGTGGGAAGCCCTCAGAAGGAGGCACCTGGAACTCACCAGCTGCTTTGGTGCAAAAAAAAAAATCTCTAAACCTCATGTTTTAATGATTTCTCTCTGCCCCTTTCCCAGTGCTCCGAACCTGCTTTTCCAACCCAGCCTCCTGAAAGCCTGACAATGTTTGTATTTCTCAATAACGTTGTACTTCAAATTTGGCACCTTGTTTTGGAAATGTTTGCTTGTCGAGCTCAATTCCCCAACGTAGACGGTTCCCAGCTGCTTTATCAGCAAGGTGACGAAGTTGATATTTAAATTGTGGGAGTCTAAAGGTGAGACTCAACTAATCCCAGGGGAAAAAAAGAAACTGAACACATCCCTCCAATTTCCTTTCAAATAATGTACAGTGTTCAGATTACTGAAGTGTAAAACGAGCCCAAGGTTTGGTGACCTGGTAACCAGAAGTTGTTGGTGCTGCCTGTTGTGTGTGGATAAGCTGGAGAACAAACAGGAGTTTAAAGTGCCACTGAGGAAGTTGACTTGAAACAATTTAATAACGTGTGGAATTTTCATACAAAAATAAGGTGATGTGAAAAAAACAATTGATGTTTATTTCTTTGAGTAATTGACTTCAAAAGATTGGGATGTTGCTCTTATTCCCGTCTGTCCTGCAACGACAAACTTTGCATTTTAAATGGCACTCACACTGTGCTTTGCTTGGTATTTTAGTGCTTTTAAGGCTTCCTTATTTTGCCCTATAAATAACCTCAGTTTTGACCTGCAGGGAGCATCCTTTGTGTGACTGAGATGTGACTTAGGCTGAATGCTGGTTTTAGCCTGGGCCTGCCCTGAGCCAAGACCAACATTGGTGTGAAAGTGTCTGTGTGAATTTGAGGGATTAAATTGAGGCCAACGTGTTACATCGTGTTTGGAGTGGGAGATCCAGGGAAATTTAAGCCATTTGGAAAATGCCCTTCTGCACTACCTAAGCTGAATAACTAAAATTATTTGTTTGAGCAACTTTCTGTGCGTTCTCTTGGATCTGGCTGGTGATTTAGCACAGAGGGACCTCCTGGAAACAGCAGTGGGTGTTCAATGAGCATGTGTTTGTGCTCACACAGAATCACCCTTGTGCACAGGTAGATAAGCAGGTATCATCCCAGGGATTTACCAACTCTTAACCTCTCTGAGGGCAGAAGGGAGAGATAGGAGAGGATTAGACTCTCCCAGCCACGTCTTTGGGTATTTTCTTTGTTCAGGTCACCTGTGGATGTCTGTGCTTCCCCAGAGCCATTCCACATGTCTTCTCCATAATGCTCATCACTCATGGGACTGTTACCTAAGTCAGGGTCTGATACCTCGGGTTTTTCAGGCGTGTTTTTGTCTTCTTTTAACTAAAAAGAGACATTCTAATCTGCTAGTTTGCTTGGCTCTTCTGACCAGAAGTTGATGCAGATGCTCCTCAGCTGGACTGCAGGGGAGGAGGCTGAGGGCTGCCCACACCTGCACTTTTTCTCTTTCCTGTTACACAAAATCTTAATGTGAATCTGGTATAAGAGAGAATTATGGCTGGGCCCAAACAATGTTATCTGACCTTTGTCGCAGCCTAATGGATTTTTTTCCTTGGTGGACAATTCCTCCTGGTAATTCTCACTGCCTTGTTCTCCCGGTGATTGCTTGTAACATTTTCCACGGGCATGATAAATGGCTTCTTAGCAGAGGCTTGTTACCTGCAAAATTGATTGGAAATTGTTTGCTGCTGAAGGTTGAGGTGCTGCCTCGCTCAGAACTTCTCTGCTGGACGGGTGAAGGATTGTCCTGAAGGAAGAGGGGGCTGGGAGCAGCCTGTCCCTTAGTGCCTGTGCACAGACTGCTCCTGGGGAAGTGGCCCTTGAAAGAGCACTGGTTAGAAATCCGCCAGAGCTGTTCATAACTCTTCATTCTGGCTTCCTGTGGTACAAAACTCTGCCTGGAGAGGTTGGTATTGTGAGAGTTTCTGGCTTTTTTGGTGATTTGTAGTTTGGGTGA